ACAGAAGCCTTCCACAAGGATGGTAAAAAAAATCAACAAATTCGGCGTCCCCTGGGCAACGTCCTTGCAGATGGCCAATTCTCTTGCACCAGAAGCGACTGGATGGACAGATGGGAAGAAATTGCTTGTACAAACTCCCCACAAGTAAATGGTGTTCAGATCTTCAGCAGAATCTCTGAAGGTCACAAATAAATCTTGCCACTTCGACCTCTTATTGTCTAGTTTAACATGGCCTTCTGGCTTTCTTAATCCCAACAATTTAGTGCCGTCTTCCATAACAAATCCTTTTCCCATGTTCTTTCTCACATCACGTCGAAAAGATAAATGTGCTCTTCTTTTGGGGACTTTTATTATTTTTTCTTTTATAAAACATAATAGGATCCTTCAGAAGAATCTTCTGAACAGATTTCATGTGCCTTTTCTATTATGGCCCAAGTATTTTAGAATTAAGAACATTAACATGCCATTTTAGAATGAAATGTACATCTGAACTGTGCAGAACATGCTGAGCCTCACAGGACAGCTACAGTGTTCACAGAAAGATCCAAGACAAGGGATGAGAGGGCTCCAGTCTGTACCTTCAGGCACAGATGTGAGAAGCCAGTGAATGCAAATGAAAAGTGAAACCTAAAGAGGGAAAAGGTGATACAGGGAGTCTTCTCTGGCTTTTTAAAGAAAGTATTATTCTTAATGCCAAAAGTATTGTAATGTAACTTTCTGTTAGAATGCACATAGGGTAAAAATATGTGAATACATCACATTAGTTTGGAGTATTTTTAATTTCACTTTGGTGGGGTTGGGGAGAATTGATTTTGTCATTTGGGAGTTGTAGTTACTGGGATTTATAGTTAACCTTCAATCAAAGGGCGCTTTTCCTCCTGTCTTTAAGGGATGCAAGCCTCCCTCCAGCCTCACATGCTCTCCCTCACCCTGCACATGCACACCACACTGCCTTGCGCTGAGCACACCTGCTCTCCCCTCCCTTCCTGGAGTCTTAAAAACAGCCCTTCCCTTGACTGAGAGACCAGCTGAGAGGCCAGCTAATCACACAGGAAGAGGGCTTTTGGTGGGAGTATTTGCCATCTGTTTCCAAAAAGGAAAAGAAGTATGCCAAAAGGATTCCTAAGATCATCAGAAATATGTTTTTTCGGATAGTCTTTGGGACCCCCCTGAAACCCCCTCGCGACTCCCCCAGGGGCTCTGACAACCAGGTTGATAAATGCTGCTCTAAGACAAACTCATCAGAGGGATTCCTTGGTAAGATTTGTTCAGAGTTAGTTTGCCTTTAGCTTTTGTGAGGAGTGTGACTTGACCAAGCTCATCCAGTGGAATTCTAGGGCCTGGAAAGGATTCAAATCCAGGTCTCTGGCATCGTAGTCCAACATTTAAACCACTAAACCTCATTGAGTCTTTGCTGATGGGATGGAAGGGGGAAAGTATATTTCCAAAACTGCTTTCTACATCAGTGGCAAACTATTAAACTTAAAAAAAAGGGGGGGCGGGGCGGGGAGATCTATGCAAAGAGATTTGATAAATGCATGCAGCCCATGTGCTGTTCTTTACCTAGTTTTACTTACTCAGATATTAATATATGAATACATTTGTTTATGTGAAAAGCGTCTTTCTTCAATTAAGACAGAAATCCAGAAATGGGGTGGGAAGTACTTGCCTCCTTGATTCTTTCTCTTGATCCAAGCTGTGTTGTAGATTGGAAATATCCAAGAAGCCAGTTACATTAATTTCTTCCTTTCCAGTTATCCTCTACATTCTTTCCCTCACCTTATCTTAAACCTGCTCTGACCAACCTTCCAAAACCAGGCCCACTTATCAAAGAAGGGCTTTTTACGAAGTCTTTAAAAACCCCATAGCCCCCTACTTTTCATTCTTGTCCTTTGTCAAGCTGCAATTTTCCCCCAGCACCAGCATTAGGAGAACAGCGATGGAGAAATGGGGAAACATAGGCCACAACTATAGTGTCATATAATGCAGCACGAAACTACAGTATAGTATACAGTGTAGGCTCATATGATACAGTTCAATGCAGTTAAACTGGATTGAACTGCATTATATGGGGTCATAGTCTTTAAATATCAGTGTACAGCAGGGTTTCTACAGTACAGAAATACAATAAAGCATCATCTGAAAAAATGGCATTTTACTAGCCAATTCTACAGCGGCTGTGTGTGCTTCCTTACAACAGGCAAGGTAAACAGCAGCCAACTGCAGAATCCTTTATTGAGCATGTAAAACTGTTAGAAAATAAAAAGGAGATAAGCCTGTCTCACCAGGTACCTCCACTGTGGAAAACAAAACATAGATCTGGGTTGTTGTAGGTTTTTTCGGGCTATATGGCCATGGTCTAGAGGCATTCAACCTACAACAACCCAGTGATTCCAGCCACGAAAGCCTTCGACAATACATAAAACATAGATCTGTAAGTTTGGCAACCAAAACAGAAATCATAAGAAAAATAGAAGCTGATGAAAAAAAATGTTCATCCATTTATTTCAGAAGAACCATTCAGTGGTCTCCAGAAAACTCAAATATTTTTGCTTACTTATGGAAGGCTCACCTGATCTAGTTTCATTTCTCACATATATATGGTTAGCTCTGAATAAAAAGTTTGATGAAACATATTGAATTACTTGTGTGTATCACCATTCTTTCCACGTTATTTATGCCTCTGGTACCAAACTTTCTATTAGAGATAAAAGAAACAGATCTATTTTGTTAACTGAAGCATACCTTTATCCTCCTTTCTGTTTCTCCCTCCTGCCTCCGAGTGCCCTTTTCTTCCATCCCAAAGCCTCAGTTTCCAAAGTCGCTTTATCCTTGAAGTATCCTCTGCTTTTTCTTTTGCTGACACCCACGCTTCCAAGCTTCATAAAGTGGAAAGAGAGGTTGGGTGGCCATTCAAAGGTAAATCTCTATGGCAACACTGCTAGTTTAGGTCTGTGCTTTTTTTGTACTTCCTCGGAGACACACTTGAAGCACACACCAGTCTCTCTCTTTTTGCATTTCTTTCAGCAGATAATCCTTTGTGTTCCTGATGGCTATCCTATTATAGTGTAAATAAATACAAAGCCATAAATACCACGTTCTTTCAGGGATGCAGCACACTATAGGCTCTGTCCAGAATTGAAGCGAGAAGAAGTACATATGATGTAGTTGGGTTTTGTTTGTTTGATTATTTGTCAGCCTTAACTAAAAATCCTTCAATACATCTTTTCTGGGGTTTGGTTATTAAGAAGCAAGTATTCTTTCCCGCAGGCTATAAACACAGCCAATATTAATTCCTTGCCTCCGGAAAGGGGGATTTCTTGGTTTAATGCTATGCAAAGTCATGGCACTACAGTGAAAATATTTTGTAAGATCGCTTCATACCAGCTCTGTTTTGTCTATAAAAATACAGGTTGGGGAATATGGCTTGGGGGGTGTACAGTTTAGCATATCACCAGTTATTTCACCAAAAAGGAGCCAATCACCTCACCTCTCCATCCTCTTTTCTATTCACATTTTTCCTCTGTTTGGAATCTAATCTGTTTCTGACTAACTTTTGCACTGCAGGATTTGAACATGTTTATTTATGTATTGCGATTTCTACACTACCCATTCCCCAAGAGGTCCAGGGCAGTTTCCGACCACATTGAAACATTTAATATTTGAAACGTCAATAACAAAAAGGTAGATACACAATAACAAAAAGTGAAACATGTGCCTGTACACATCTGTTACCATCAAATGCCATTGTGAATAAAAAAGACAAAACTTTCAAGAGGTCTGGAGAGTCAGGGCCCATCTACATTGGGAGATAATCCAGTGTAGATGGAACATTAGCCTGGGTGCATGGCCAAATGATGCACCCAGGCTAATGCGGCGTAATTTGGAGTAAACCAAATCCTTGCAAAGATCCTGATCTTCCTTGATCTTCCGGATCTTTGCAGGTATGGGGGCAGTGTTATCCCAGGAGGTGTCCCCACAGCCATCCCAAACTCTCCACCTTGGCAGGGGTGGAGATGTATGCCACCCACCTGAGGTGGAGTTTGCTCCTGTGCGTGGCCTCAAAATGTGACATGAACCAGCAATTTTAATTCCACATATTGGCCAGTGTGGAAGAACCCTCAGGGATAGGTTGTTGTCATATGCCTTCACCTTGACTCTGACTTATAGCAAACTTCTCACAGGGTTTTCTCTGCAAGAATGATTAAGGTTTGCCATGGCTTTCTTCTGAAAGCAAGGGAATGTGACTTGCCCAAGGACATCTATTGGTTTTCATTGATAGAGATTCAAATCCAGTTCTCCTAAAACCTGAGTGCAACACTCAAACCAGAACAGCCCATCAGTCATCCAATGAGAAGAAATTTCACACCCGAGTACTAAACTGGAAAAAACCAATTAATCTGCTCTATGCATAATGTAGCAATGACACATTCAACCAAAGATTATCACATGGTTATAGAGCTCTCATAGGTGTATATAGGAAGAGGCTTTGTAGATTAATGCCAGCACCATGAATTATGTGCTAACACATATATTATCATACACTGGAACACTTTTGTCAGTAAACCTTTCCTTGGGTCCTCCTATTTGGTTCATAGGTAAGACCAAACTAAGCTTTAAGTCAGGCATAGAGGAAAGGATATTTAGGGAAGTGTAATGAGCATATCAATTACACTATACCTCCACATAATAAATTAATATTTCACCAAACAAATGCATGCATAGCTTAAGCGAGATGGTAGATGGAACAAAATTCTGAAGACATAATAAATTCACAGTGAAGACATAATAAAGGTTTGACCAGATATGAACTACAAGGCAATCTCATGTATGTGATCAGATTTATGTGTCCATATTAAAAGCCCATTAAATAATAAATAGGGTTTTTGCAAAACCAGCATAGCTCAGTTCTAAGATTTCCATGTAGCTTATTTGCACGTGAGGGGATATAGAGTTGCAAATTTAATTTGATTACAATGTATTATTTCATGGGGTTTAAAAAAATCTGCATTTGTTTAAAAAACTGAAAATCTAATAATCATAACATGCCTTATTGATGCTTTTTCTTCCAAGTTGTGGGCATTAACTTTTTGGAATCCGTTTCTGGATGCTGTAAAAAGCGGTCATACCATAGCACCTTTTATTCTGAATTTTCCACATCATGATTTTGTACACCTACCAGCTTAATACTTAATTTAAAAACTAGCAGGGCTTGAGGATTTTCAATGACCCCATCAGTGTGCTCGCTAATAATAATAATAATAATAAGCACTCAAACTAGCCTTCACTGGCTAAACAGTTGTGTATCTTGAGACTGAAATTATGGCTGAATGTCACTCTCTAAGGTCTGATCATTATGCAATGAAACTGTGGGGAAAGCCTGAAACATGACCAGTAGCTTGAGAGGCAGATTATGTGAGCAAAGGCCCCAAAGCCTCTGAAAGAGAACTTTGATCAAAGCTGGCTTCATGATAGGTAGTTACCCAAGGGTGAATTAATAGTATTTGATATTGCAGGTAGTATCGTCAGTATCAAATGTGAATATCCTGACCAAAACTGTTCTGCCATCCCTGCATAGCCCTCAGTCCTATCTTCCAAAGGAAAGACTTACAAGAACTGAATATTTCACAACTTTTCACCATGTGCCCTGAGTAATACAGAAGCTTGGATCCAACGAGTGACTGAACTTCACAAACAGCAAGTCTAGCACACAAGAACATCAGTTTCAAAACACCCTGCAGACAACATTTTGAAATCCCTTCCATCCCTCCCTTTTCTTCCTGGCAGTCTCAAAATCCAGGCTTTTCAGACTGTGCTATCTTCTGTATGAAGAGTTTTTATGTCTGTATATTTTTTTTTATCTTGTCAGTCCAAGTAGGTCACACTCTATTGTTCATCTGCAAAAATAATGAGTCCACATAGATAGTTTATTTCAGCACAGATCTCTATAGAAAAGGCTCTGTCACAATCGTTGTCTGCTCTGTGTCCTCTGTTTCACAGGAAAGTATGTGTTTCAGGAGAATTATCCATCATGCGCATCATGCAAAAGTCTGTATTATACATGGCCACCTTTAGATAGGTAAGCAATCAGTGCTACTATCACTCCGACATACACCCCTGTGCCGATCGTAATGGCGAGTGCAGCAAGAAACAGAGCTCTCCGGGAAGCTGAGCTTGCGAGATGGAAATCCCCCTTCGAGATGGCCTTACTTGTCTAGAGAAAAAGGAAAACAATATGTAGGTTAGCTGTAAACACAGCACAGTGTTCATACTTACCCTAGATACTCACGTTTAAGCCTATACATTTTAGTCAAAAAATCAACCCAAAAAATCTGGGTCAACTTATTTGCTGGCCAATGTAAGTACTTTACCTTAACTCCAATTAAAAATGGAACCACCCCCCCCCCTTCTTTAAGTGGAGTGGCAAAAGATGAGTACATGTTCTTCTAGAACATGGCATATAGCCCAAAAAAACTACAACAACCCAGTGACTCCAGCCATGAAAGCCTTCGACAATACAAAAGACAAGTATGTAGTCCACCCTGTGATAACCTAAAAGAAGCACCAACTCCATTTACTCTCTCCACCGTGGTGTCATTTCTGGCCTTTTTGAATGTCTGGGTGGGGAAATAATGGTGGCGGCCAGATGTATCAAAATCCATAATTTTGGCCCCAAAACCTGCCCTTGACTTATACATGAGATAGACTTATACATGAGTATATACGGTAAGCATATTAGCAGTCTTTCAAATGAGACCAAAGTTAAGGCGTGCAGATTCTGTGGCCTATATCCTGTGAAAGAGTCCAAATCCCTGCCATAATCCCGTGTATTATTTGAACACTCTTTTCAAAGTCTCTCATAACTGAGGTCCTAAAGTAATACTTACCTTGTACACTGTATCAGTTCAAACACAGTGATTTTCTACTTCAAAAAAGCCAGTGTGATATATCTTAGTTGAATTATGAAGTTCAAAATTCTCTAAAATACAAGAACTCCACATGGGTTATTGAAAGAGTGACACCTTTGCCTTCTGATGGTTCAATGCACATAAATTTTGATTCATGAAGAAAATGATTACAAATGTCATATATAAAATTACCTTCAGACTACCTTCAGCTATAGGAAGCATAAAGGAATTTTGTGCATAGATTTGGATCCCATCTCCAATATATCCATTGTGTATGTTCAAATATTCCAAAATAATTATTTTAAACAATCCAAAACACAGAACACTTTTGTGCCCAAGTATTTTGGATAAGGGATACTCAACCTATATATTAGAAGATTCGACTGAAAGCAAATAAGTTATAGTTGATAGAGTGTTCAAATCAGTTTGAGGAAATCCAGATTGAAATTATAATTTGAAATGCAAGTGTCCCGGAGAGTCGACATACTTGAGCCTACTACCTTGAAAGGTTGCTGTGATAATTAAAAAATGGAGGGATTCTGTATATACAGTCTTCTGAACACTTTAAAGGAGCAGTGTGACAGAAATGATCACCAGTTGATAGTGGCACAATTGGGGGAGGTACCCCACCATGCCAGTGTGAGGCATTCCCTGAGCACTGCTTACACCATGGACCACCACAGATTATGAGCCTGCAGGTTAGGACAGGGCCTTTATTACATTTACCGTATATTCCGGCATATAAGACGACTGGGCGTATAAGACGACCCCCAACTTTTCCAGTTAAAATATAGAGTTAAGATGACTCCCATGCATAAGACTACACCTGCGTATAAGATGACCCCTGACTTTTGCAAAGATTTTCTTGGGTTAAAAAGTAGTCTTATACGCCAGAATATACTGTATATTGTTTTGGATATGCTTACCAGCCATTATAAACTGACAATCAAATGGGACATCCAGGTTCAGAAGCAGAATCAGATGCCAAGGCAACATACTCTTCAACATTTTACAGATGGAAACCAGGACACATGTGCCAAATAACATCAGTGTGTGGTCAGTAAGGCATACATTATTAATGAGTTAAAAAACAATAGCTAGGAGAGGCTGCAGCATTTTGCTTTTGCTTGAACCATCTGGGAAGGGAAAGATTTCACCCCTCTTCTTTTCTCCCTTCTGCTGAACTAATTGCCTTCTCGAGAGTAACGGGATCAAAAGGGAAAGTCAAATATCCCAGAAGTGGTGTCTGTATTAAAAACGATGCTTCAGTTCTCCTGGTTGAGGCAGGAAGAGGCGATCTTGTGTGATGGGGATAAGTACATTCTTTGTCTTCTTTAAAGATAGTTCCCACACAAGAATTGAAGGGATATGTTGATGCGCTGGAATGTGTCCAGAGGAGGATGACTAAAATGATCAGGGGTCTGGAGAACAAGCTCTATGAGGAGCGATTTAAAGAACTGGGCATGTTTAGCCTGAAGAAGAAGAGAAGGCTGAGAGGAAACATGATAGCCATGTATAAATATGTAAGGGGAAGTCATAGGGAGGAGGGAGCAGGCTTATTTTCTGTTGGAGACCAGGACATGGAACAATGGCTTCAAGCTACAGGAAAGGAGATTCCTCCTGAACATTAGGAAGAATTTCCTAACTGCGAAAGCCGTTCAGCAATGGAACTTTCTGCCTCAGAGTGTGGTGGGGGCTCCTTTGGATGCTTTTAAACAGAGGCTGGATGGCCATCTGTCGGGGGTGCTTTGAATGCAATATTCCTGCTTCTTGGCAGGGGGTTGGACTGGATGGCCCATGAGGTCTCTTCCAACTCTATGATTCTATGATTCTAAGAAGACAATTTCCCCTGCTTCCCCCAACTCCATCTGATGAAATCCTATGAAACATTGGCAATCCCACACTGAACACATGAGTATGGTACTTTCTTAGGTGCCTGTTTGTTGAGTGTTGCTAGGCACTTTAAAAACTTTACTCTTAAGTACACAGGTCACAAGCTGCTGCAAAATAAACATAGGATAATTCATATTTATGTAGGCAAATCAAGAAGAAATTATTCAGGTTTATTTAAATTTCATAGAAAAGACCTACCAATACCAATAAGTACAACCGGAATAATTTTTTCAGTTAATCTTCCATTCCAGCAGAGGTTGGAGTTGGGATGGTCAAAAGACCACTGCTACAAAATCTTTCATCAAGACAAGTTACTACTGAGAGTAATTTCTGCAAACTGTAATTGGAGACAGTGACTCAAGTGCCAAGGCTGTTAGCACAGACTCCTTCGTTTTTAAAGTTTCTCTTCATCATTCATCTTTCTCTTTGTATTGTGTATTTTTAGACAGTAAACCTGAAGGCTAGGACTAACTTTTTTATTTAATGTATGCAATACACTGTGGGAGCCCTATTAGCTGCAGGGCAGGATGAAATGGTAATAAACAAATGAATATTAATATGTAGTTGTGTGAAATATGCAAAAAGATAGTAGGTGGTAGGTTTTTCACGGGCTCTTTATCTCTCATTCCCTTTCCCTCTCTCTCTGTCACACACACACACACACCCCTAAAAACAATTTTAGCACCACAATTCAGTTTCAAATATCGTACAGAGTGCTGTTGCAAAAGCAATGAAGGATGGCTGGAGAGGGTTTGCTCTCAGGTAATTTCCCAGCCCCCATCTAGATCCTGTCTAAATGTAATAAATTCCCTTTCAATTAATTCTTCAATTCATATATCATCAGTACTTCTAAACCAAAATCAACAAGAAAACCAACCCATATAAAACAGTGTAGGATTTAGTGATTTATTTACTTACTATATTTATATCCTGCTCTTCTCACCCTGAAGGGGACTAAGAGTGGCCTTTACACATAGGCAACAATTCAATGCCATTGGAACAACATACAATTAAAATAAACACTTACACTAAAACCAAAGAATTAAAACATCTAAATATTGCACCAAGTATTAAAACTACACAGTCTAAGATCGTAATCCAGAGGCATTCCAGTTGTCATTGCACATATTCCATATCCATTTCTTGCACTACAATTACTATCCAAAGGCCACTGAGAAGGCCACATCTGCGAAGGAGGTGGGACCAAGAGCAGGGCCTTTCCAGATGATCTTAGTCTCCAAGATGATACGTTCAGACAGGTAAACTGGGCTGGAACCATTTAGGGCTTAATAGGCTAAAGCCAGCACTTTGAATTTTGCTCGGTAGCAAACTGGCAACCAGTGGAGCTAGCATAACAGGGGAGTTGTGTGCTCCCTTTACGCTGACCCAGTGAGGAATTTGCCCCCCCGCTGGATCACTTGAAGCTTCTGAACAGTCTTCAAAGGCAACCCCTTTGAGTACTGAATAAATATGGAATACATTTAGAAAAGGAGATGAGGTTGAAGATAAGGTTTGAACAAAGGTGGAAGAAAAGAAACAGACAGGTTTGGTGTGTGTGTGTTGAAGTCTCCTGTCAATTCATAGTGACCCCATGAATTTCATAGGCTTTCTTAGGCAAATAGTAGTCAGAGATGGTTTTGATAAGTGCTTCCTCTGAAATAATCCACAGCACCTGATATTCTGCATCCAAGTACTAACCCGAGCTGACCCTGCTTAGCTCCCAAAAGTTGGCACCATTAGGGGATTTAGACACTTGCATCAAAAAGGGATTGATAAAACAGTCACTATCTAGTACTGAATGCAGAGAGAGACTAAACAATGAAAAGGGAAGGGGCAGTAAAGGCAGTGGGTATGAAATGATGGTTTTCTCATTTTCTTTGTTCTGTTCAGTTTCTTAGATTCTCTCTCTATGTGATGGGGATTAATAAAATGTCCACAAAGCCTCCATAATCGCAGAAGATAAGAGCAACCGTGTCACTGAAGACCATCAGAGGTGGGACCCTCAGGTCCAGGGAAAAGATCAAAGCCCTCCTGGGATCTTCAAAAGATGGTGTTCTCTTCCATTATGTAATGGCATTCGTTATTTGTATTTGCCCATTTTATTACAAAAGGTTGAAATGACTTCCCCAAGGCTTACTTAACAGGAGTTAGAGGTTTATGATAATATATAATGATATTTTTAATTCCATGCCTTGGTCACTACCAACTATTAAAATGTAACTCTTGACCATTTATCTGAAATTGAATCTGGCCCCATCCCATCCTTGAATGTTTAAGAATATAATTCCTGGGCATAACTGGAAATCTACATGCATTTACAACTTCACAATTGACAGGGACAGTCTTGATAAACCTGTTGCCCTACTCTTTCAATGGAGAGACTAGAAGAGGAGGAGCTGGAATCTTGCCCTTC